TGTAGGTTCTTTAACATTGAACTCACAGTGAAAAGCACTGTAACTCATGCATGAAAGAAGCTTATCTAATGTGTATTTTCTCCACAAGGCACATCACAGCCTTCTTGTGTTAACAAACACTAGACAGCACTTCAGCACCATGCATGGGGGCCATTATAAACAGCAAAATCACCAACAAAAGAACAAAAATGTTAAAAGCACACCACTAGGTAAACCCCCAAAAGAATAGCTGTTTACTGTTTAGGCTGAAATAAAGCTGGTTCAGCCTCAGCTGGGAATACGTGAACAGCCAACATTCAAACTTTTCACTTCTCTATGTCGTCTACAGATGACCCTGGAAGCACCATGAGTATTGATTTTGGAGGTTACAAATAAATTTCAGCCAGTAGGCAAATCTACAAATATGGAAACTGTGAATAATGAGGATCAAATGTAGTTGTGTGAACCCCCTTTCAAATTAGGAAAATGGAGGCACAAGAAGGTTTAGCAATTTTGTTGCCTCAACAAATTTTACTGACAACTAACTATGTTTTCGGGTATTCAGGTTTTTAACTCCCGCACTGTTGATATTTGGGGCCAGATAGTTCTATTTGGGCAGGGGGGGGTGTCCTGTGCATTGTAGAGTATGTAGCAGCATCTCTGGTCTTTACCCACTCGATGCTAGTATCTCCTCCCTCCCCCAAGCTGTGATGACCAAATATGTTCCCATACATCATCAAATGTCCCCTAAGGGGTAAAATCATCCACAGGTGAGAACCACTGGTCTAGGGATTAAAGGTACAGCAATGACAAAAGGCAACATCTCTGATCTCACAAAACTTACATTATGGGGGAACAGGGGTGAGGAGTTAGTATTTAATGGGGACAGAGTTTCAGTTTGGGAAGATGGGACAGCTCTGGAGATGGACAGTGGGGAGGGTCACACATTATAAATGTAATACCACTGAACTTTACATTTAAATATGATTAGTCCACAAATGATAAATGCTGGAGTGGGTGTGGAGAAAGGGGAACCCCCTTACACTGTCAGTGGGAATGTAATTTGGTGCAGCCACTATGGAAAATAGTATGGAAATTCCTTTAAAAAACTAAAACTAAACTTACCATATGATCCAGCAATCTCACTTTTGGGCATATATCCAGAGAAAACACCAATTCGAAAAGATACATGCATCCCCAATGTTCATAGCAGCACTACTGTAAAGCAGCATTTTACAATAGCCAAGACATAGATGCAACCTAAATGTTGCAAAAGATGATTGGATAAAGAAGTTTGGTATATATATACAATGGAATATTATTCAGCCATTAAAAATGAAATAATGCCATTTGCAGCAACATGGATGACCTAGAAATTATCATACCAAGTGAAATAAGTCAGACAGAGAAAGGCAGCTATTACATAATATCACTTATATGTGGAATCTAAAAGAATGAGACAAATGAACTTATTTACAAAACAGAAACAGACTCACAGACATAGAAAACAAACTTATGGTTATCAAAGGGGAAAGGGTGGGGAGAGGGATAAATTAGGAATTTGGGATTAGCACATACACACTACTATATATAAACTAGATAAACAACAAGGTCCTGTGGTACAGAACAGGGAACTATATTCACTATCTTGTAATAACCTATAATGAAATAGAATATGCAAAAGAATATGTATATATACATATGACTGAGTCACTATGCTGTACTCCAGAAACAAACACAACATTGTAAATCAAGTATAAAAAATACTGGTAAATAAATAAATAAATAAATAAATATTATTAGAATGACAAATTTTATGTTATGTGTATATATATATTACATATACATATATATATATATACACATAAACCACATTTAAGATCAAGAGGCTTTTACTTTGTTGTTGTTGTTTTTGTTTTTCTCTGAGGGGGGAAGTGATTAGTTTCTTCTTTTTAAATTTATGTTTTTAATGGAGGTATATGGGATTGAACCCAGGACCTTGTGCAAGCTAGGCATGCACTCTTACTACTCAGCTATACCCTCCCCACTGTAAAAAGAGATTTAAAAATAAACCTGGGGAGACTATAGCTCAGTGGTAGAGTGCGTGCTTAGCATGCACGACGTCCTGGGTTCAATCCCATATACCTCCATTATAAATAAATAGATAGATAGATAGATAGATAGATAGATAGATAGATAGATAGATAGATAGGTAAACCTAATTGCCCTTCCCGCCAAAATTTTTATTTTAAATAAAATAACCAGACAAGAGCCAAGCTTGGTGCACTCAGCAGCGCGGCGGTGGCGGCTGCAGCACCACGGACAGCTCCCGGTGCACTCTCACGGAGGAGTTGCTGCTGCTTTACAAATGGTCTTCTGTTCAAAGTGCCTTTCTCCCCTTTCTTCATCCAACTCCTACTCACTCCTCAGGGCCCAAGTCACATGGTCACCACCCCTGCCCCGCTATGGGAAATCTCCCCATGCGCCTCCCCACCTCCACCCTCGCCCCTCACCCCCACAAGCCACTCTGCTCCAAAGATGTCTCTAAGTCAACCCAGACTCCCTTGCCCATCTGCTTCTCAGAGTAGGAGTTCTATGAAAGCAAACTCTTATTCACGTTTCGGATCCCAGTGCCCAGCACTAGAACTGACCTGGATTTACAGTTCAGTGTCTCTCCCCAGAGCTCCACTTCCTCCAGCCAAGAGGTGCAAAGTCCAGATCTTGTGCTGGAGGCTCTGGGCTCTCCTTCCCTGCTGTGGAGCAGTTAGTTGCCTTTAGGCCTTGGGTGTAAGACCCTGACGTAGTGGGCGGGGCAAACACGTGAATAGCCTGTCGTCTGAGATCCGCAAGGAGAGCCAGAGTCTATGCATTCTATCTGCGTTTCCCCAACATTTCCTTTGTGCTGGGTCCTGCCGCCCTCTGCAGAGAACATTGCAGTGTACAAGACCAACCAAGTCTCTTTTCTCTTGAAATTTATATTCCAATAAGGTGGAGTCCTAGGATAAACAGAGAAACAAGTAAATTTCAAATAGTGGTGTTATAGTAAAAAAAAAAATCAGGCTCCTCAATATCTTAAACCCAGAATCAGCGTATGACCCAGCAGTGCAACTTCCATGTATATAACCAAAAGAACTGAAAACAAGGATTAAAGTAAATCCATGTACACCCATGTTCATAGCAGCACTATTCACAACAGCCAAAATATAGAAACACTTTCTGTTTATCCACTGGTGAATGGATAAACAAAAAATAGCATATGTATACAGTGATTCAGCCATAAAAATGAATGAAGCCCTGGCACACACTACAGTTTAGATGATCCTTGAAAAATCATGCTCAGTGAGAGAAGACAGACACAAAAGATAGTGTAAGTATACCACTGATACGAAATATCCGGAAGAGGCAAATCCACAGACACAGGAAGTGGATGAATGCCAGGGGCTGGGGGAGGGGGGATTAAGGGACTGCTTAATGTGTATGGGATTTCCATTTAGGGTGATGAAAAAGTCCTGGAACTTGATAGTGGTGATGGTTGCACAACATTGTGAATGTACTCAATACCATCGAACACATACTTTCAAATGGTTAAAATGGTCAATTTTTATGTTCTGTGTATTTTACCACAATTTAAAAAATTATAGTGAGAAGGAAATCAGACTAGGTAATGAGATGGAGGATGATGGAGTGAGAGGCAAGATAGTCGGAGTCAGGGAAGGCCTCTCTGAGGAGATTACTTCTCAGCTGACACTTGAATAATGCCTACGTCTGAGGGAGAAGCTCTCCTGACAGAGGGAACCAGCTTGTGCAAAGGCCCTGTGGCGGCAATGAATTTGATGTGTTCACAGAATAGGTGAAAAAAAAACCGAGTGATTCAGAGGGACAGAAGGTAACAATAAGCATCCGCTCTTACTGAGGGATCACGTATTAGGTTCCTGTGGTGCCATAACAAAGCACTACAAACTAGGTGGCTCAAAACGATTTTTTTCCTCTCTCAGTTTTGGAGGCCAGAAGTCTGCAATCAAGGTAGTCTGGGGACTGTAAGAGAGAATCCATTCCTTGCCTCTGGGACTTCTGGGGATCCTTGGTATCTCTTGGCTGCAGAGGCATCACCCTGATCTCTTTGTCTCATGTGGTGTCCCCCCTCACAGGTCTTCTCCCCTTCTCTTCTCTTATAAACGCACTTGTCATGCGATTTAGGGCTCATCTTAAATCCGGGATGATCTCATCAGGAGATCCTTAACGTAATTCCATCCGCAAAGACCCTCTTTCCAAAGAAGGTCACATTCGCAAGTTCCAGGGGTTAGGAGACAGACATATCTTTTTTGAGGGGGGCACCCATTCAATCTACCAGTCTAAAGTTTTTTTTAAAGCAACACCGGAAAAAAAAAACGTGCAGAGAACTTTTCTCATGCTGCGGCACTGTGCTAAGCCCCCGACGGGCAACATCTCATTAAACGCTGAAACGCCAGTACAATAAACTGAGTCCCAGCGGGAAAAATCATTTACCCCGCTGGGTCCCCCAGCTAGTCAGTGGCCAAACCAGTGTTCAAACCCACTTATGGTCTGAATTCAGAGGATGCACTCAACTCTGCACCATTCTATTAAGGCCCTGAAGTCTCCCAGGGTGGCGCTACCACACGCACAACTGCAGGGGGCGCCTTTTCCTCGGCGGCCCCGAGCAAGTGTGTCTGCAAAGATTCTGCCTCCCCAGCACCCAGGCTGGCCTATGATAGTAAGTGGCCGGCTGAGGGATCCACGACATGGGTCCATGAGAAAATTACTCCCTCCCCTCCACCTAATCTAAGGAATGAGGCCATCGCCGCCACTTATTTATTTATTTATTTATTTATTCCTTGTTTTGTTTTTAAATCTGTGATGCGCCATCAGGAAATCATTTCCGCTTCTGCCCCTGGTGAGGCTTTTAGAAATGCTCCCCTCTCAGCCAATGGAGAGCACCGATTCTGGCAGGGGGCTGTGCTTTTTGGTCAGCCCTGCCCCCACCCACCCACCCTGCACACAAAAGCAGCATAATTAACTGTCTTAAGGAAGCCGAGCCTCTGCCAGCAGTGAGCTGGCAAGAAGAAAACACCTCGGAGGCACGAGCTGTGACGATGACAGGGGACGCAGCCGCAGCTGAGCGAGGGGGAGCCGACCGCTAACTGCAAGCCGCTCCCCGTCCCTGGACAAAAGCTCCCTTCTGCGCCCGCCACGTTGCTCTGGGTGACCTTCCTTGGATGCAGAGCCGGCCCCTGCGTGCATCTTCCTCGGATGCTCTGAAGGCCCGGGGACCGCGCTCCGAAGGCGAGGGATGCCCGGCTGCATCCGCCCGCGGATCGTCTTTGTTTGCGCGTAGCCGGGAGAGGCCGCGGAGGTAGCTGGGACTCACGCGGAGGTGAGTCTCCTTTCCTCCTCCTCGCCCTGCCGAGGGAGGTTGTCCCTAGGCGTCTGCTGCTGGCAGGTGGGGCGGGTGGGAGCGGAGACCCGCGGTCTTGTGATCCTTCAGATGGCAACACCTGCATTTTCCCCCACGCGCCGCACACACCCCCACAGTTCGCCTCCTCTCCCACCGCTCACCTGGAAGGCAGAGGACTGCACCATTTCCAGGACGTGCTTAGAGATCAGGCGGATCAAACCGTCCGCCCCTCTCCGGGACGCTTCCTAAGAGGCCGAAACGTACACGTCCCACCTCTGGGCATTTCCTATTTATAACGCCGTGAGCGGATTTGGAGAAAGGATTTGATAGGTGTGTACACAGAGGCTTGCCTATGGGTGGGGAGGAAGGGAGATGGTTGAAGACGGGGATTCCTCCTCCTCGGTCCGAACTCGTGTGTGACGTGCTAACCGCTCGGCACCACAGCGGCAAGGAGCGCTCGTCAGCCTCCGCTCGCTGCCTTGCTCGCCGGCCTGGAACGTGAAGTCAGACCAGAGGGCAGGAGCGTCCAAGCCCATCGGGCCCCCCCCCCACACCGCGCACTGAGGAGTCTGGGGCCAATTCGTAAGACTCCAGATCCTCAGCTGTGGGTGGGGCGGAGGTGGGTGGTCCCTTCCGGGGGCTGAGGTCACACCCAGCTCTGGATAAAGAAACAGACGCAAAGACCACTCCCTTCGGAAAAAACGGATTTCTGTTGACGGGAACGTTCCCTCGCAGGAAGGCTTTGGGGTGCTTGTTGCCCGTAGCATCAGGAAGAGATCTCTCTTTTTCCCATACTGCATCTTCCTGTCCCTCCTCCAAGAATGAATGACGACATTCAGGGCAGTGACAAGAATCCAGCGAGAAACTCTCACTGAAGAGGGGAAGGGTCAAATTTCAGACATCCCCTCCTGCCCACCTGGCCCTCACCCGTCTGGGGCTGCCTCTGAATCCTCCCTCTCTGAGCTGCAACCCCAGAGGCAGGCCCACCATCCACAGGGGCTTCGGTCCAGCTAGAGGCTTTGGAAGGCACAGCCAAACTGACAGCCACAAACCAGCTCTAGAGGGGCAGCCGCAGCGGGGAGGGGAAGGGGTGGAGGCGGGGACCTCAGGTGCTAGCAAGTGAGGGTGACAACTTCTCACTCTCATATCCACAGACCTTTGGGGCCGGGCCCTTCTTAGTCACGAGGGGCCATCCTGGGCACTGCAAGGTGTGGAGAAGCGTCCCTGGTCTCCACCCACGTGATGCCAGTAGCCCCCACCCCATGCAACTTATGACAACCAAAAACGCCTTCAAGTATTGCCAGGCGCCCCGGGGAGGGGGAGGCGTCAGCCCCAGTTGCGAACCACTGGCTTAAAGCACAGAACCTGTGCTGTTATTTGAGTCATGAGATCCTGGGTATTACGCCCAAAGGGATCATGGAGATCGTTTCTAGACCAATTCTTCATTTACAGACAGGGAAACTGAGGCAGGGGAAGTCACCATGCCCCAGGGTAGACCCAAATTCAGTCTCACTCAGCGGTTCTGACCACACTCCCAGACAGCCCAGCACTTAAGCCACCATCTCAGCCCCCACTCCATCCCTGCTCCCAGCTGGCTCCTCACACCAGTCAAAACAAAACTGGCATTTTGTAGTTGGTAATAATTATGATTCTGATTCTCAATCCCAGTCACTTTCCGCACTGCCTTTTTCAGTCCTAGGGTCAGGTTGTCAGGGCTTGCTTCTTCACAATGGGGGTTGGGGGTACAGAGGGGCAGGACAGGTGGGCTGGGGCAGACAGAGGTGGGTTGGGGTTAACCAGGTCCTGTTTGAATGTCGGTCCCAGCATGGGAGCTTAATTATATCAATCATCAACATTTTGGTATAAATGGTATTAACTCACTTTATTCCCTCCCAGTTGAAGTCCAAGGTGGGGAGGGGCGGTGAGGGTCCCATGGGGAGGGTGACTTTCAGACCTTCAAAGGTAGCTTATAGCTGGAGGCTCAGCTCCTTATTTGGCTCAGACTCCAGACCCACATGGGTGGTCAGCTTTCCATGCCTCTATTTTCTCACCTGTGAAATGGAGAAGCCTCACAGGGCTGGACAATGATTCAGTAAGATGATGGACCCAACAGCTCTTTGCAGATCGATCTCAGGGAAGTTCTGTGTGGGTAGGGGGTGGTCATTATGATGACTGTCCAGTAAAACCTCTGTCCATGGCCCTCCTTCAGGATTCATCCCTGCATCAAGTCAGTACCTCTTCCCAGCCCCCATGGGGACCACCGAAGCCACACTCCGGATGGAAAACGTGGACGTGAAGGAAGAATGGCAGGACGAGGCTCTGCCCAGGTACAGCTCCCCAGGTCTCTGTGTCAGCTGGGGAGGGAGTCGCCCGGCCCTTCTTCCCGGTGTGGTGCAGAGACACCCCAGTTGACCAGGCCAAACACATAATTAACACTTGCTGAATTATTTAAGATTGATTCCCCACCTCCCCTCATCCCCGCCCCTGCCAAAGTGCCCAAATAGCTCCCATTCCCACACTATTACGAAATCAAAACATCCTTCTAGAACCATCTCATGGATTATTACAATCATCTCACCTGGGTTCCCATGAATCCTGGTAATAGTGTAGTTTTACCTGCAGCAGCACGCCTGCTTAAAAACCCTGGGGCAAATGTTCCTCCCACAGAACATCCGGGTTTCAGCCTCCACTTTCTCCTTCACCCTCACCTCCCATCACTCCCCGCCCCCTCGTGCCCTCCAGCTCCAGCATCTGCCTTCCTGTTCCTTCGCTGTGCTGGGCTTCCTCTGACTTTCAGAATTCACACTGGCTATTCCCCATGCCAGGAACACTTTTCCCCAGACACGTGCCTCTGTCACCTCCTTCAGGTCTCCACCAAGAGGCCACCTTCTCAGAGAGGCCCTCCTGGCCCTTTCATTATCCCCTCCCCCAGTCCCTGAATTGTCTCCTTCCTAAGTAACAGCCCTTCCCAGATACCCACACCCTAATCCCTGGAGCCGGAGAGCAGCGTTCCCTCACATGGCAAAAGGCATCTTGCAAATGTGATCGAGTTGAGGATCTGAAAAACGGGGAGATCATCCTGGATTATCCAGGTGGGTCCTCAGCATAATCACAGGGGTCGGCAGAAGAGGAGGGCTGAGGGGGATTTGAACAGAGAAGTAGGAGTTGTGATGATGAAAGTGACAGCTTGGAGTCACGGGAGGAAGGGGCCACGAGCCCAGGAAGGCAGGCGTCTCTAGAAGCTGGAAAAGTCACCAATAAAGATTCTCTCCAGGAGCCCCCAGAAGGAGCCAGCCCCGCTGACACCCCGCCTTTGTCCAGTGAAACTGAGTTTCGACTTACTTCTGGCGTCTAGATTCATAAGAGGACACATTTGTGCTGTTTTAAGCCACTAAATGTGTGGTAATCTGTTAGAGCAGCCGCAGGAGAGTCGTACGATCTAATACGCTAAGTATTTCACATACTTCTCTGGTTACAGTCTGCTCCTCACCGTGGGACCCATGAGAGCAGGGGCCCTTGGTCTGATCACTGCTGTATGCCAGCACCACCGGAACAGAGCTTGGCATACAGTCGGCGCTCAATAGATACTGAGAGACGGTCGTTGGTAGGAGTTGCAGGGAGGAAATGGCGCTCACCCATGGCTCAGATACTTGTCTGTCTCCTGTTTTCTCCTCCGCGTGGTGTGGGGTGAGAGGAAACGCCGTCAGCACGGGCTCCGCCTAACTCGTTGGCTGGACACAGCTGCCCAGCTCGCTCACACTTTAATGCAAGGAGTTTACCCCCAGGAGGTGATGCCCAAGAGTTAGTTACATAACCATCTGGGAAGAAAGAGTCTAAGGGACGGGGCACGTTCACCCCAGAAAGGAGAGTTGGAGGATCTCCAGCTCCACAAAACCTCGGTCAGCGGTCAGCAAGGCGCTGAGGGCAGAACTAGGCTGATGGCGACACAAAACGGATGCAGACTATATGAACTCAAATGGTCTGATATGTACGTGCTTTATCCGGCCGTCCCCGTGCAAAAGCGAAACGGGCCGATGGGGGCCGTCTGGAGCTTCCTGCCGACTGTGTCCCAGGCGAAGCTGCGACGTTGAGGGCATCACCCCCTCATTTGAGAGTCTTGGCCCTCTCCCAAATCTAGTCATTCTCACTGTCTACATTTCATGCACATACTCGTGGTTCTGAAAGCGATAGGTGTCCCATCTCAAAACAGCCGAGAATCTCTTGTCTGCCCAGTACTGTTGTCTGCAGGAATACAGGTATTTTGGGAAAGAGACAGCGATCTCGTTGGTGCCGGCCTCCGGTTCTCTCACCGTTAGAATGTCTTGCTCTGGGTTCCCTTCTACCAGTCTTTCTCTTCAACTCAATATAAGGAGTGCTAATGCCTAGGTGTGTAGAAAGGGGGTCTAATGGCGCACAGACCTGGCAGTTTGGGCGAATTAAGGATCATTTTTGGCAAGGACTCCTGCTGGAGTTAGGGATGCTCCGGAATGGGCAAGAGCTGCCTTTGAGAGCGGTCCCTCGCTCCAGGTGTGGGAGATAGGTTTCCTCCCATGGAAAAGGTGGAAGCAGATAGGTTTGGAGGCATCTCCAACCAGTCCCAGCATTGCTTACTGTCCCGTCCACAAAGTCTGGCCCCTACCGAGACCGAAGCTTTCTTGGGTCCAGACTTCAAGAGCCTCCTGATTCAACCCCTCCTCCAGGCAGCAAACCCCAGCCCCTCCTGGATGTTAAAAATTCTCTGATGACCGCAGAGGGCTCATCTTGCTTACTCTAATTTTATTTCAAGTAGCACAGGGGAACCAAGAGGGCACGAGCTGTGGAACTGAACGACTACAGGGTCTGATTCCAGTTTCCAATGGGCTTGCTCGGCCACCCTGAGCAGCTCTTCGAGCATCTTTGTACCTCGGTTTTCCTACCTATAAAACGGAGACAATAATCTCTGGCTCACAAAGTCACAGGAATTCAATGAGGCGCGTGGGGCGAGGCGGCCGAGATGGGCTGTGAAAACGAGGAGGGCTGCCCGCAGGGGTTGCCACCCTCGGTATCAGCATCATTCGTATCAGCTCTGTCTGATTCACACCAGTTCCTTTTTTCCATCCCCCCCATAAAAAGAGACCCCCCTCCCAAGCCTTGTGGAGACAAAATGGGGCTGATTGCAGCTGCAAATGTGAATTTCAAGTGAGCCTCCCCAGCTGCAGAGGGTTCCTCTCCCTTTTCAGTAGTTCAGTGTTTGCAGGACAGTGGCCTGGCTGTGTGGCCCTGGGTCGAGAACACGCTTTGGTCCAGGCGTCTGTCCTCCTCATTCTGGGGGAAGTGAGCACAGCTCCTTAACACGGAGTCCAGCTGCGTCCCAACATAAGCACCTCTGTCTGGCGCCAGACAACCCCCAATTCTATTCCTCCCAGCCCAGGGATCCCTGCCTGGGGGCATCTTCGAGCTGCCCCAGGCGTGCCCACAGCCCCTCCTGCTGCCGTCATTTTGTGGCATCTTCCTGCACCGCCTGCTTTTCTGCAGGTTCCTGTGGATCCTGAGCTGGGAGCAGCCTGAAGATGATCTGCCTCACGGCCTTGTTTCCCAATTCATTCATTCTAGTGCTAGGTAGGCACCGACAGGATGCCACACCCTGGGCAAGACACTGGGAACACGTGGAAAACGGGGGAGTCTGGGGCAGATGAACAGACAGAGGTGCTGGAAATTGCAGAGAAGGAGAAAGGGCAGATTTATCTGAGCATCTGAAACTCCAAAATCGCTGATAAATAATGTTTGACGCCTTTCAGCAGTTTCCCTCTTTGGTTCCCTTGGCTTAACTTTGCAGGAGTCCTGTTACTCAGCGCCAGTGCTGCTGGCCCAGCTTTGAGCCTTAGAAAAGCCTACGTACGCCCAGAAAGAGTTTTGGCTGCTACTGCGCACCAGAAGTGGCCACGGTCGGGCAGAAACAGAGGCTGGGCAGCCCTGGACGGGACACTGAGGCGGCACTGCCAACCTTCATGCCACCAAAGCTGGGGGCACCAGTCACGAAGCAGGAGGCATGGTCATACGTCCTGAGGCCCACATGTTATGCCCAACTCCTCCGTTTCACACCAGGAGTCACAGTGAGCCAGAGGCTAGGATCTGAGGGTAGAACTAGATCTGGGAGCTGCCTCTGAAGCCAGAACTATTGCAACAACAGTTATTTCAGGGTGACAGGTGTTTCTAGATTTTGGCCTTCCCCTGCCACTTACATAATGTGGCACTCAGTCCTTCCTCACTCAGTCCTTCCTTCAGCCAACCCTTGCTGAGGGCCGCTGCTCCGCAGTCAGGCCTGTGACTGGCTCACCAGAGCAAGAGAGGAAGAGGCACTTCCTCCCCTTCAAGGCCTCACAGTCTGCCCAGGGAGCAGGCACTCAGCACTCAGGACCACAGACTCGGCGCTAGGGGAGGCTTCGAGACAGAGTGCAGGGGCGGGTGGAGGTCAGGCCCCGACAGGGCCTCCTGGAGGGTGCTGACCCAGCCTTAAAGGCGTGGCAGCTTCACCAGGCAAAAAAAGCAGGAAGGGGCCTCTAGGCAGAGGTGGCGGGATGCGCAGAGGCACGGGGGCAAAGAGGACCTTGGTGGCAGGGGACGCAGCGCGCGAGCCTGGCCTGGTTATGGGTGTCGGGTCGGCAGGCTCACACGCGCCGCGTCCAGCAGGGGTGCCCAGGAGAGGATCTTGGATTTCCCACTGAAAGGGTGCGTGAGTTTCCCAGGGCTGTCATGGCAAGGAACCGCAAACTGGGCAGCTGAAAACAGCAGAAATGATTCTCTCACAGTTCTTAAAGTGGCTTAAAGTCCCAAATCCAGGTGTCAGCAGGGCCATACCCCTGAAGGCTCAGGCAAGGGTGCTTCCTGCCCCGCCCCTTCCAGCTTCCGGGAGTGGCCGGCAGTCCTTGGCTTGTAGGCGCATCTCTCCAGCCTCTGCCTCCACCTGCGCACAGCTTTCTCCTCTGCGTGTCTGTATCCAAACTTCCTTCTTCTTATAAGCGCACCACTGACTGGATGTAGGGCCCACCTCGCTCCTCAGGATGACCTCATCTTAACTTAATATCTGCAATGACCCTGTTACCAAACAGGTCGCATTCCCAAGTACTGGGGGTTAAGACCTATGTCTTGTGGGGGACGCAGTGCAACCCACACCGGAAGACTAGAGCCACACGGTACACCTGGAGTATTAGGGGGAGCCCCGCTTTCCACGCGGGGTAAATTTACACAGGCTGCCCATCCCAGGCTGAGAACAAGTGCTGTAGGGAACCACCTGGATCCATTTTAAGTTTGTGGACGGGGTTCAGCTCTGCATGAGCTGAGGTGTTCCGGGAGCTTGGGGAAATAACTAGATCTCACCTGGCCCTGAAAACTGCAGCCCTGTGGGCCTGTGGGGTTGGTGCACATGTGCAGACTGGGCACAAGGGGGCAATAGAGGGCAATGCCTGGACTCGCCTTACCACTGGAAAGGGTTCAGCCCTCCAGGTGTCCTCCAGTTTAGCCTCGGTTTCCCCCTCTGTGAAATGGGCTTCTACCTGCCTCATAGGGATTCTGTAAGGAGCAAATAAGATGCTGTCAACATTACAGCACAGTGAGTGCCCTGTCCGTGGGCAAATTATTGTTTCAGCTGATTCTGGAGTAACAGGATTGCAGCCTGGGGCTGATGGGTGCGGGGGAGGCAGCGTAAATGAGGGAAGGAGCTGGAAGGAAATTCCAACACCCAGGTGAGCAGGGGTGATGGGCAGTCACCTCCTGGTGGTTTTTACCATGCACAAAGTGCAGATCCGATTCAAGAAAAGCCGGCAATCTCGACTTTTTTGTCACATCTCTGATTTGACAGCTAATTTTAAATGTTGTGGGATGCTGTGTTGGCAGGACAAAACCGGGTGGGGGGTTGCATCAGCTGTCAGTCTGCAATTTCAGAGCGCGATTGTGGGTGACCTTGCAGGTAGGCGGTGCGCCTCCTGTCCTGTGGGACCCAGGGCTTGCTTGTGAGTTGCCAGTGCCCTCCTCATGTTGAGAGCAGGGGCATCAGCTACAGACCAGAGGCACGGAGCAACGTGCTACTGGGAATGGCGTGTGAGTTGAGTCTTCAGCCTCGATCTGAAAGAAAAGAAGATGCCTCTTTAAAACCTTCTGACTTCATCTGAAGCTTGCTTTTTTCTTTTAAAAATTGAGGTGGCAGGGAGGCTATAACTCACTGGTAGAGCATGTGCTCAGCGTGCACGAGGCCCTGGGTTCAATCCCCGGTGCCTCCGTTAAAAACAGAGAAATGATATGAAATTTACATAAAATTAACCATTTTAAAAACACAACTCACATGTTGTGAAACTATCAACTCTCTCTAGTTTCAAGACATTCCATCACCCCAAAATGAAACCCCACCCCCATCAGCAGTCACCCCCAACCTCCTGGCAACCACCTCCTGTGTCTGAGGACTGGCCTGTTCTGGAGGTTTCACATCCATGGAGTCACATACTGTGTGTCCTTCTGTGTCTGCTTCTCTCACTGAGCATCGTGCTCTTAGGGTCCGCCCACGTGAGAAAGGGTGTCAGGGCTGCTCTCCTTTTCACAGCTGAGTGATGTTCCATCGTATGGATGGACCAAGTTTTGTGCGTCCAGTCATCACCTGATGGACATCTGGGTTGTTTCCACCTCTTGGCTGCTGTGAATCGTGCTGCTGTGAGCATTTGGGTAGGCGCTTACGTGTGGATGTGTCTTCATTTCCTTTGCTATTTTGACCTTTGACCTCCACAGAGCAGGGCAACATCCATTTCATCCTTTACCTCCAAGACACGCCAAAGCACCTGGCAGGTAGTGGTTACTCAAAGAGCATTCAAAACAAGGTGAATGGGTGAGAGGTGAGTGGGGCAGGCAGAGGGAGGAAAGGCATGGATAGATTGCCCCCCGCAGAGGGTGCCAGCTCGTGCCCTACAAGGAGCAGAGGCGCGGGAATAAATGGTTCTGTGAAAAGGAAGGAAAAAGCATTCTACCATCCTTCCCCATCCCCCTTTTCAGCTGAGCTGGCACTGCAGTTACAGAGATGAATTAGCGCTGCAGCGCTTCCCTGAGTCAGCACGCCCTGCGGCCAGAGCCTCTAACGCCCCATGCACTCTGCAAAACCCTCTGCCTGGAACTGGGTATTTCCCTGGGGAGCAAAGGAGCAGGAGAACCTGGGTCAAAATCAGTCAGTGGGAGCTGTGGTCCAAAAATCAGTCCGAGCCTTGCCAGAGAAACAGGTCTTATTTTGCAAATTCGTGTTTCAGCAAGCATTAAAGGGGCACAGATACAGAGTTGGCTGCCTTTCTTTTGTCTTTAAACTGACTTTTTAGAAGTTTTAGATGTACAGGAAAAGTTGCAAAAATATTACAGGAAGTTCCGCATACGCCCCGCCCCGCATCCAGTTTCTCCTGTGGTTAACAGCTTACATTAGGCTGATATGTTTGTTACAGTTAATAAACTGATACTGATACACTGTTGTTAACTGAAGTCCACAGTGTATTCAGATTTCCACAGTCCTTTCCTCCTAATATCCTTTTTCTTTCCCAAGATCTCATCCAAGATCCCATGTAACATTTATTGGGCGGGGGAGGGCAGTTAATTACAGTTTTTATTTCTTTACTTACATTTTTTTTAAAATGGAGGTACTGGGGACTGAACCCAGGACCTCGTGCACGCTAAGCACGCACTCCACCACTGAGCTCTACCCTCCCCCCACCCGTGTGACATCCAGGCGTCACGTCTCCTCAGGCCCCTCTGGGCTGTGACAGGTTCTCAGACGTTCCTTGTTCCTGATGCCCTTGACGGCTCTGAGCAGGACTGAGGTCAGGGCTTCCGCAGGGCTTCAGCGGGAATTTGTCTGGTGCTTTTCTCATGGCTGGACTGGGCGCTGGGAGGAGGAGCACACGTGAAGGGCCGTCTCCATCGTATCGGGGTGCCTGCCGTCAACATGCCTCGTCACTGCTGACGTTGACCTTGGTCCCCTGGCTGAGGTCGTGTTGGTCAGGTGTCTCCACCGGAAAGCCCCGCCTCCTCCCTTCCCACGCTGTCCCCTTTGGGAGGAAGTCACCGTGCCCAGCTCACGCTGGCAGAGAAGGGAGTTACTCTCCATCCCCTTCAGGACAGAGTGTCTAGACGCGTTATTTGAAATTCTTTTGTGCTGGAAAAATGTGTCTCTTCTCCCCTGTATTTATTTACTCAATTATTTATTTATATCCATATGAACTCGCGGACATTTTATTTCTTACTTTGGCTCGCAATCCAATCAATACTTCATGATTTATTTTGTTGCTCAGACCATGCCAGCGTTGGCCATGGAGTGTTCCTTCAGTTGACGGCCGTGTCCGTTGGACAACTTCTGGCTCCATTTAATAGCAACAATTCGTCGGAGATCTAACTCTGCAGGGTCAGATCATGAAGAATGCTCTTTATATTCCAAAGTGTATGAAACTGTGTGACACTGGACGAGACCCTCCTTCTCTCTGGGCCTCAGCTTTCCCCGATCAGGAAAAGGGGGGAAAAGGGCTGAATATTTATTAGACGAGCTGATTGGGGCCCTCCAGCGCTGGTGGTTTATAACTTTCTGGGCTCATGAACAGATGTGTTTTGTCCCAACATTTCCCCAAACTAAACAGATTTTGTTGCTATCACTTTGTCTGAACTGCACGCTCCTGTGGCTGGACTTGTGGTGCCTGGTGGCTGCTGTCCGACCCTGGCTGGGTCTGCAGGCCACTCCCAGAAGAGACGGGCACGGACTTGCTTGGAAGCCCCACAGAAGACACATCCTGTAAGTTTCCATGCGTGCGGAAATGGGCACACAGTCTGGGCTCTGCCCGGGACTGTAACTATAGAAATGTCAGAGGCCATGCCTCCTTGGTGGAATGTCAGGGAAGGGGGTTGTTCTGCTCCAAGGTCTGCAGGGAAAGCCAGAGACGTGTGTGGGCACCATCGTGAAGTTGGTACACCATGTTGCTGTGTGTCCTTGAGCTGGTTGCTCAGCCTCTCTGTGCCTCCGATTTCTCATCTACTATGTGCAGATAGTGAGCATCCCACAGAAGGGGCATGCAAGGATTCAATGAGATGATTTGTGTAAGGTGCCCAGGGGATGCCAGGCACAAAGCTAGCCCTGGAGGTGGGGGATTCTGCTGCCCCAAGCACTCAGGAGGGCTCATGGCTCTGCAGATCCAAAGCCCCAGACTTTGAGGACAAGGGTCTGGGACAGCCAGAGGAGCTACCTCGAACTTGTGTTCTCCTCAACTGCATCTCCTTACAGAATCCTGCTGAGGGTCCCTTCTCTGCCTGCATCTCCTCCGTGTAGCCCATCACAGTGTCCACCCTCCAGGGGAAAGACCACCCAGAGAGGGACAGCTACATCCCTGAGGTCACACGGCAGTGAGAGCCAGCTCTGCCTACCCCTGCTCCACACTGTGCTCATGGGCCAGGTGGGGGGACCAACTTGTCCCAGCTTGCTGGGGCCCATCAGGATGAGGGTCACCCTACAGTACCAGCCCTTCTTCTGGCCTGAGCACATGGACTCTGTTCAGTGTTGTCACATCCCCACAGGGTGACCTTGGGTGAGTCCCTTCACCCCTCTGGGCCTCCATTTCTACTTCTGTAAAACGAGGGGTATGTAACAACAGTATCCCCACTTCCTGGGTGTGGCTGGCCCCAGAGATATCCAGATTCTAAATCCTAGAACCTATGAATGTTCACTCCCATGACAAAAGGAATTTTACAGCTGGAATTTAGTTAAGGAAATTGTGATGGGGAGATGTGATCGTTAATTGTATGTATGCACTTGACTGGGCCACGGTACCTAGATATGTGGTCAAACATTATTCTAGATGTTTCTGTGGAGGGTGTTTTTCAGATGAAATTTACATGTAAGTGAGTGGACTTTGAGTAAAGCAAATTGCCTTCCATTGTGTGGGTGGGCTGCGTCTAATCAGTCGAAGGGCTCAAGATGGAGGAAAAAGACTTAGGTGTGATTCATCCTGGGGCAAAATTCCTCTCCTGCTGTGAACCCCTGAAATCAGGCAAGTTATATGCTTCCAAAATACGATGGTGGGATGGGCGCAGAATAGAGATTCTCATTCCAAATGGGAGAAATTGGAAAGAGGAAGGAGTAACGGGTCCCGGCAAGCCTGAAACGTGGCAGGGCGAATCCCACTAGGCATTTGTTAGGGCAGCTTCTACTAGGTTTTAAGGCTGGAGAATAACGTTTGGCTCAATGCTCTGTCCTCCAGATCCACGCAGTGGCATTACTGCCGCCTCCCTTCCCTGCCCCTTCAGTCTTACTGTCACCATGTTAGGACCTGCAGTTGACGCCAGCAGGAAGAGTGGGAATATTTTAAATCAAGCACGCCTGATTCACCGCTCCCAGCCCACCTCCTGTCTAAAAGGCGGTGAGCTGAGAGGCCTGGGTTCAGATCTCTGGGCAAGTCACTGCCTCAGTGTCCCCGTCTGTAGAGGGGTAACACTGCCCACCACACAAGGTCATGGTGAGATCTAGATATCCTGTCAGTGCCCAGCACGTAGCAGGCACTTGATAAATGTGACTGTTGGGTTTTTATCATTTTCTGCCAAAGCATGTCTTTACATCCCAGGGTCCCTGAAGCAATCACCTCTGACCTACTGCTTAGGGACTGAGAAATTCAAAGTGGAAGAATTGTGACGAGCTGGTCCACGTAATTACAGATCAATGAATGTCATCGTCTGATACAAAAGGGATAGGACTCTCCTACTGGTTTATGTATTTTGTCCTCACAGGCCAGGTCACAAAACTGGGGTGAATTCCCAAGGTCTCTGGAAGATCAGTGTCTTCCCCTAGAGCTGGCTTTGGGGGAGGTGATGGCTTTTCTCCCACATAAGCCCATAAACCCAGAAACTGGAGGGGCTAGTCCGCTCAGCTGGTATCAGATGGCTTTAACCCCTTGGGGGCAGCCCACAAGGGGCCCAGAGTCCAGGCTAAGAGTCCCTAGGAGGAAGCAGTCCAAACCATGGGGAATATCCACCCCGACCGCTCCAGAGTGCTGTGGGAGGACCCCGGGCCTCTGTGCCTCCATTTGCTCTTCTGTTAAAGGGGGCAGTAGCAGAGCTGGACCAGGAGAACGCTGGGGAGAGCTTCTCAGAGAGCCTGGCCCCTGCTACGCAATCAGCAAATGTTGGTTATTAAAGACTCGAGGGCAGAGGGTATAGCTCAGTGGTACAGCGCGTGCCTAGCGTGCAGGAGGTCCTGGGTTCAATCCCCAGTACCTCCATTAAAAAATAATAAATAAATAAATCTGATTACCCCCCACCCATGCCAAAAAAAAAAAAAAGTAAAACAAAAAAAGACAGGGATAAAAAGCAGAACGTGGACATCGTCTGCCGGCCTTACCCAGCGGGAACAACAGTCACGCGTATTGGTAGGTCTGGAGCCCAGGCTGCCTGGGGTCTAACCCCCCCGTCATTTGACCTTGGTTCCACCTTGACCTGACTCACCTCCTATGAGTTCCATTTTGCAGACGGTAAAGGTGAGTCAAGCTCAGAGCAAGGTGGCACTGCAGGGTCACAGAGCTAGTGAGGAGCGAGATCAGGCTTTGAGCTCGGGTCTGCCCAACGTCCAGGCACCCGCCCTGGACCTCCGAGCCAGGCGGCTGCAGTAACTGCTGTCGGGAAAGGACGGCCTCTGACTTCCCACCGCTCCCCACGATGGGATGGAGAGGAGCCCCACAGGGTCGGGAACAGGAGAGAGCGGAAAAGAAAGAACAGCTGACTAGTTCGGTTTGGTTTTTTTCTGTTTTCCTGTTGCCCCACAGCCCCTCCCAACACGCTGAACTTCAATGGGGCTCATCGGAAGCGGAAGACGCTGGTCGCCCCCGAGATCAACATTTCCCTGGACCAGAGCGAGGGCTCGCTCCTGTCCGACGACTTCTTGGACACCCCTGATGACCTGGATATCAACGTGGACGACATCGAGACCCCCGATGAGACCGACTCGCTGGAGTTCCTGGGGAACGGCAACGAGCTGGAGTGGGAAGGTGAGGTCAAGTGGCTCCACGCCTGCCGGGCCCCAGATCAGCCTCCAGTGCTCCTCTGGGCTTCCGGGACCAGCTTGCCAGAGCCCCACCCCCTCCATCCCCACAGGCTCAGGTGGGGCAGGGCGTCTAACCTGGGTCTCCAGGATCAGCCCCTGGGACTCCGTGCACACGTTTTAGTGGACTTGTGGCTTTTCTGGGGGGCATGGCCTTCACCTGATTCTCAAAGGTGACCGAGACCAGAAGGAAGTGCCTCTCCCCAGTTCCACAAGTGTTTGTGGGGCAGGTCCCGAGTGCCGTGCGGTGGGCAGAGAGGGCAGGGATGTGTCAGGAACAGGCAGTGCCCGCCTGCCTGAGCAGCAGTCGGAAAGCCAGGCCCTGGGTAACGAAGCACACGCGCACGAGGTGGTTGCCCCTGGTAGTCCGTGCTGTAGGGAAATGAGGTGGTGGAGAGGGGAGAGGGCTCGCCTGGGTGCTTCTGCTCCCCCAAGGGACACTAGGTGGTGTCTGGGGACATCTGTGGTTGTCCGGGCTCCTGGCATCAGGTGGGTGGGGCCAGGGATGCTGCTCCACATCCTGCAGTGCCCAGCACGGCCCCTCAGAGAGAATAACCAGCCCCAAACGTCAGAAGTGCCCGGGCTGAGCACCCCGAGCCAGGGGAACCGGGTGGGAAGGCTCTTTTGCAGGGTTGCCTGGACAGGCCTCGCTGGGTGGGTGTTATTTGAGCTGACATCCCGAGGCAAGAACACAGGTCAGAAAGGCAGCGGTGGTGGTGGCCGTGGGGACAGAAGCTGCCACACTTGCTGGGTAGATGTGGAGAATGAAGGGGAAGGGGTCAGAGGGGATGCCTGGGTTTGGGGCCCTAGTCGCTGGGAATATGACGGCCATTTTCTGAGGCAGGAAGACTGCAGGATGACAGGCAGGAAAGAGGCAGATGTTTTAAGAGTGGTTAAGAACTCTGAGAAGCCCAGAGAGGCAAAGAATGTGTGCAAGGTCACACAGCAAGAAACGGCTCTACCTAGACGACCGCCTGACTGGGGGCTTTCCTGTGTTCCATGGTGTTCTTTGGGAAAAAAGCAAATTATTATTTGGGTGTGACTTTTCGACTCCCAGACCCTCCATTTTGCCCAGTAGCCCCAACCTAACACTGTCTGTCAGCAAAGCGCAGGATGAGTGATTTTGCCCAAGGCCTGGGGCTAGAGGAGTGGGCTCCGCAGAGAGGGAGGCTAGGACAAGATGTCTGGATTCAGGCACCCTTCGGCTCACCTTTCTCCTGGCCTGCTTCCAGATGACACCCCCGTGGCCGCCGCCAAGAATATGCCTGGGGATAGCGCAGATCTGTTTGGGGATGGTTCAGCTGAGGACGGCAGTGCCGCCAATGGGCGTCTGTGGCGGACAGTGATCATCGGGGAACAGGAACACAGAATTGATCTGCACATGATCCGGCCCTACATGAGAGTGGTGACCCACGGAGGTGAGACCACACCCCTCTGGTCCCCTCCCAACTCCAGCGGGGCCACTGGAGGCCCATCAGTGGTCCTCTCTGGACCTCTGTCTCTTCTTCTGAGCCACGTGCCCAGGGGTGTATGGGGGGTGAAACTCACATGGGAGCAAGGCATAGACGTGCCGGGCACACACAGGAGGTGCCCATGAGGGTGGCTGGTGCCCCCCACCAAAGGCTGAGACAGGTCAAGGGTTTTCTGGCTTCTCCAGCCAGACTCAGAGCTGTACCCTCTGAGTGTGGGCAGCGGGTGGGAAGGGGCTGACCAGCAACGAGGCGGGCGCATGGGGAAGAGCACAAGGCTGCTCACAGCTGGGAGAGGGCTCTGCCTGTCTCTTCCTGGGGCCGCTCACTGGCCGCCTCTCCCAGGGTACTACGGCGAAGGCCTCAACGCCATCATCGTCTTCGCTGCCTGCTTCCTCCCGGACAGTAGCTCCCCCGACTACCACTACATCATGGAGAACCTCTTCCTGTAAGTGGCCCGCCCGCTCTGTCCCAGCTGCCAACCGATCTGAAAGTCCCAGCCGGTGGGCCAGACCAGCCTGCAAGAACTATGTTGGGTGGGGGCTTGGCCTGGCACCAGGGAGGTCTGTGCCGCCAACAGCCCTTGATCTGAGGCCCCTGCTCGCCCACTGGTCTTTGTCAGCATCACTGACATTTATGGGGTGTTTACTATGTGGCAGCCGTGAAGCTAAGGGCTTAGTAAGTGATAACACATTCCACCCCCCACATGACCCTGTTGCCTCCCATTCTGTGGCTGTAGAGCCTGAGGCACAGAGAGGTTAAGTCTCTTGCCCAAGGACACACAGGTCAGTTTCATTATGATGGAGACAGAGAACACTTATAATGCACCTGGCTGGTGACAGTCAGAGCTTAGTAAGTCATTATCACTCTTACCGTAAGCATGAAGATTTCCTTCACCAAGCAGGGCTTGGGTGCCAGGTGGGCCAGAAGATGAGGAGGTACCCAGGGATGGTCAGCTCAGAAAGTTACCCGAGATTCCAGGGAGCCCAGTCTCCCCAGTTTACAGATGGGGAAGTAGAGGCTGAAGGAGAGGTGGGGCTGGCACAGACCCCAGGCCCCTAACATCTGGCCCAGTGGACCGCCCGCTGTGGGCGCCTGCCCCCCAGGTATATCTGGGGCCGCTGAAGCCGCCTCCCAGGGCGAATGGAGATTAGTGGAGACATTAGATGCTGTCACGCGTATAAATCTCTTGGCACCCAATAAGCACTCAATGAAATAGTTAACTGCTACAATCATTACACCCACTGGCACAGACTTGGGGCCACCCACCCCCACCCCGAGTGTGCTAGCAAGGCCAACACCATCTGAACAGGTGTGGCTGGCGCAGCCGGGGCAGGCAGAAGCAGACAGGGCAGGTACCGCAGGGGTTCAGTCCCGGGCACCGGGGCTTCCTGACCCTGAGCCCCTCTCGCCGGGTCCCCTGTCCTCTGTGCACCGTCACCAGGTATGTGATCAGCAGTTTGGAGCTCCTCGTGGCAGAGGATTACATGATCGTGTACCTGAATGGTGCCACCCCCCGGCGGAGGATGCCGGGCATCGGCTGGCTGAAGAAGTGTTACCAAATGATTGATAGGAGGTGAGCAGGGGGTGGGGGCGGCTGGGGGACCAACTCCGGGTGCACGGGGCCCAGTTCTGGAGGCTAGAAGTCCGAGGTCAAGGTGGCTGTAGGGTTGGGTCCTTCTGGGCCCTTGAGGAGAATCTGTCCCACGCTCTCTGCCAGCTTCTGGTGGTGCTGGCAATCTCTGCTATCCCTTGGTTTGTAGACACATCACTTGATCTCAGCTTTCATTTTCGCGTGGCCTTCTCCCTGGTGCATGCCTGTGTGCAAATGTCCCCTTGTCATAAGGACACCAGTCATAGTGAATTAGGGACTGGCCCTGCCCTACATCCCCGGGGATGAGCTCACCTTAACTAATTACTCCTACAGTGACCCTGTTCCCAAATAAGGGGATGCAATTCAACATGGCTCAGAACCAGGGGGCCCCAGGAACTCTTTCAGGAATGGGAGGCAGTGTGGCCAAGTAGTCAAATGCTCAGACTCTAAATTAAGAGACAGCCGGAACCTGCGAACTCTGCAAAGGGGCTTAGCTTTACCGAGGCGGCGCCTCCTCCCTGTGAACAGAGATAATCACCACAGCTACCGCTCGCGCAGAGGAGGAGACATCGGGCAGCTCCTCCCTCCCCGAGGCTTTCGCGAGGAGCCCATCTCTCTCCCTCTGCCCCCACCCCATGCAGATTGCGGAAAAACCTGAAGTCCTTAATCATCGTCCACCCGTCCTGGTTCATACGCACTGTGCTGGCCATCTCCCGCCCTTTCATCAGGTGAGACTGTGACCCGCCTGGGTTTTAGCGTGTCTTTTTTTTAATGTGGATTTTCCAGCTCATCTATGATGAATCAATATTGTTGCTTTAAACACTTGAAAAGCATGTGCGTTGTTATTAAGCGGCTAGGCGACCAACCTCGCAGGAAAACCAGTAACACCCATCTCTCCTATACTGACGCTGGGTACCTTCTGACACTGACGACCACAGCCCTGTGAGGTGGACGGGGCCACACCCGTTCCGTGCAGGAGGAAGCTGACTCACGCAGAGGCACGCAGCAAGGGCGCTAGTCCACTAGGCACTCCCTCAGAAGGGAGCCGGCTCCATCCTCTCCGGATGCTGTGAGGAGGGGCGTTAGGGGCCACTTGCCCGGACAAATAACGCGGTGAACCGACATGTGTGCTGTGAGGGTGCCCGAGACCGGCCTCAGGCTCAGTGATGTACGAAGAGGACTCACAGGGCCCAGGAAGGCTGTTGTGCTCACAGTCACAGTTTATTACAGCCAAAGGGTGAAGGATAACACTGGCAAAGGGAAAAGGTGTGTATGAGAGCCCAGGAGACGCCGGGAGTGGCTGTGAATTGCCCTGCCCCAGACGAGTTGTGCCAGCGCCGTGATTCTCCCTGCAACGACGGGTGACCTGTAGGAAGCACTGCCCACAGGGAGGCTGACCGTGGTGTCCAGGGCTCCCACCGGTGTCCGGGGCTGAGCCACACGGGGACGGAGTGCCCACATGGCCGCCCTTAGGTCCTCAGTAACTGATATGATGGCCCAAGACCCCGCCACGAAGCATGTCTTTAGCACAGACTATGGGCCGGGCTCAAGGCCCCAGGGACCTGGAGACGCTTACCAGGCAGGACAGCCCTAGGGCTTACAGGTGGCCGTCCCGAGTCTCAGGGGCAGGTTCTTCCTCCGGAATGTGTTTGGCCAGCAAGCGCCGGAGAAGAGGAGCAAGGAAGACAAAAGCAGCCATGACAAATGCCCTCGTCCATCACATAGACCTGCACGTGCCTTTAATGGCATACAATTCAATACATTGAATTAAGTCAAGACCCTTCATTTCCACATTCCCAGTGAAGAGTGTGATGAGTTTAAGAGACTGGGCCAGACTTTGCCTTGAGAAAGGCTGTACTATCACAGCACGAACGACTCGCAAGGAGGCAACTTCACATGCTCTGTGCTCCGTGATTCCTAAGAGCCCTGAAATACTAGTGCATTAGTGAAATCAGGCCTTTCATGCACTAATTATGGGCCATTTGTGCTAATGCCGACCCCACGGGGCCAAACACACTTTAGCCTAACAGCATTGTGTTCCGTCCTGACATCCCTTAATTCAGGAACCGAGACTTGCCTTGCATGCGGACCATTCTCTCACTTTGGGTTGCTTTTCCCATGGTGAATTTTGAGGGTCTCATCCTGAGCTCTCAGAGAAATAGGAGAGAGGAGAGGAGGGAAGGAAAGCTCCCTCGTTCAAAAGATGAAGAAAGTGAAGGTAGACTCTGAGCCCTAGCCCTGAGGCCCTGAGATTGTAACTCAGGGAGAACTGTTCGTTCCACGAGCTCTGAACCTTGGGAACGTGCCTTGCCCTGGGCTGGAGTTCTCCCTCCCGAGAAAGAGCCCGGTTCACAGGCAGGCAGCGCCACCGCGCAGAGGCTGGGCGTCCGTCTCTGACAGCGGGCGCGGCCTTGCCGTGGCATCTGGTGGTGTGACTTCACCTGTGCTCGTAGCCCAGTGCCCAGGCCGCAGGCGTGCCTCTGCGCCCTGAAACAAGACCTGTCCGGCAAAGCAGGCGGCCCGCCCTCAGAGCCCCGGGCCCGACGTATTCGGGTGGAGGGCGGCAGGACTGCTGCCTGTCGGTCTGAGACGCACTGCCGTCCCTGGGCCCTTTACCTTTCTGCCGCACCTACTGGAGGGAGAACTCATGTTCCAAGAATAATTATATTTAATTAAAAAAAATTAAATTTCAGCTGCACGAAAGCAGTTGGAGTTATTCATTCAGGTGCACACGGCCGCTCTGTGACTCTCCTCAGGAACCGCCTGTCATTCCCCGATCGGTTGCCAGTGGCCTCTGCTGAGTAGCCTGTTTATTTCCCTTATGGATGCTGTGGACTGCGTCACTCCCCCTGGGCCTCCCCTCGCACCGGATGCCAGAGAGCTTGAGCCGCATTTTTCTCTAGTCTCTGGAAATAGACGTGAAACTTCCTGACACAGTTTTGTAGCCACATGCCTCTGTCTTACTGTTTTTGTCGTTGTCACTTGATTGTTCTATTACTTAGGGCACTAACTGTATTCTCTTGGCCTTCTAGTTCTCATCATGAGAAAAACTTGATTTGACCTGAAAAAAGTTTATTTCACATTTTACCAAAATTGGGTTAAAGGTGATTTTTAAATAATTATTTTATTTTCAAAATTACTTTGACAGGTGTTACTATTCTACTTCTTTTAAAAAAAAAACACTTCCACTTCATTGCTTTTTAGGGGGAGGGATGGAGAGATCATTAGGTTTTTTTTCTTTAATGGAGGCACTGGGGATTGAACCCAGGACCTCGTGCCTGCTAAGGACGTGCTCCATCACTGAGCTATACTCACCCCCCCCCAAGGTGATTAAAACAGTGATAATAATCATGAGTTCAAAGCAACATGCTGGTGATGATGACGAAGCCCCTCGTGGCAGCAGATGGGCAGAGATGGGGTCTGGGCGGGAAGGATACGTTCATCCCGAAAGAGCGGAGAGTGACTCAGCAGTCCCTCGTGCGCCTGCCTGTGCCCGGATGATTACGGCACCGTCCCGGTCGCGACGAGTCTGCCAGGAAAGCTTTCTCGGGAAGGTTAACCCGGAGGAGCAACTCCTCAGGAGGATGGAGGGACAGCCTGAGCCCACCAGCATCTCTTCCCTCTCTGCTTCCTTTAAACCAGCTCCTCAGCTCTGCAGGGACTGGTGTGGGATGCGCGGCTCCGCACCCTCCCCTTCTTGCGAGTTCTGCTTGGGCCTGGGTTCTGCTCTGTGCCCTCCACCAGGGGCAGAGGGCAGAGGCTGGTGGGGGCCAGGAGGGAGGCTTGGGCCGAGGTGCTAGGGGCAACCCGGAATAGGGTTGCACGTGCCTCTCTGTCTGCCATCGCCCCTTCTGGCCCTGAGGAACCGCTGCGAGCTCTGGCTTTCAGCTGTCTCCCTCCTCCTCCCACCAGCGTCAAATTCATCAACAAGATCCAGTATGTGCACAGCTTGGAAGACCTGGAGCAGCTCATCCCCATGGAGCACGTGCAGATCCCGGACTGCGTGCTACAGTGAGTGCCCCCGTGCTGCCTGAGAGCCCCCCGCCTCCGCCCCCGTCACCCCCAGGCTGCTTGCCTCCCAGCTGCCCCTGCTCAGCCCAACTGACCTGAGTGGGAGAGCAGAACAGAGGGAAATGCAGTGAACCAAGCACGTGTGAAATTACAGATCACGGTGGGCGGGCCATCTAGTGCAGGGCAGGGGCCAGCGAGCCACAGCCCCCGGCTAATCTTTATAAATAAAATTTTACTGGCACACAGCTACACCCATCCATTTACAAACCATCCATGGCTGCTTTCGAGCTACAACAGAATCAAGGGGTTGCTGCAGAGGCCAGCCTGCAAAACCGAAAATACTGACTCTCTGGCCCTTTACAGAAAAATGTGGCCCTGATGGAGGGGCCTGTAGACCAACCCACGTCAACAAGGGGGAAGCTTTATAATGGCTCCGTTCAGTGCTGAGGCAGACAACGTCCGCTAAGTTGCATCTCTACCAGATGCTGGAATATGCCAACGAAACATATTCCCTGCCCTGGGGTAGGGGGAAGTTGCAAAGCAGCTGCAGGAAACACACAAAAAAACAGCAGACTGTCGGCTCCAACTGCACTTTCTGCTCTAAAGCCTGGCATGTATTCAGATCTGACAATGAGATCGCGCTCCTGGTCCCGGGGGAAGGGGACTCCCAGGCTGCATGTGACGTGCTCTCTCCTCTGTCTCTCTTCTAGGTACGAAGAGGAAAGACTCAAGGCCAGGAGAGAAAGGTTTGTGCAGAGCGGCTTGGGCTGGGGCTGGGTCGGCGCTGGCGCTGAGTGGGGCCCACATCTGGGAGGAAACCAGTGGCTTTGGCTGAGCGGGGACCGAAGTCAGGTGTGCATGTGGCTCTCCAGGGCTTGAGGTCAGACCCAGGCTCGAACCCAGGCTCCCCACCCAGTCACAGGTGGCGTTAGGCAAGTGAAAAGTTCACAGCCTCCCTGAGGGTTACTGTGGGAAATTAGGAACAAGGTAACCCATGAGGCAAAACTAGCGGGCCCGCAGAGAGTCCTACTAGTCTTCACGATCGTAAGTCCTCCCCTTACGTGGGGAACACAGCTCCCTGCCCCTCGCCCACGGCAGACCCGGAGCCGCCCGTTTGCTGCCTTGCTGGCTCAGTCTCTGAGCTACGCTGCTCCCCCTCCGAGCCTGCTGTGGACGAGCAGAGAGAGGACAGGGCCAGCAGGGCGCCTGCCGGCTGGAATCACAGGCAGGGGCGGCAGCGCATAGAGGCCTCTGCGGAGATAAACGCCCCCAAGGAATGGCCCAGCCCCCTTCCTCCCAGCTGCCTCCGTCTTCATGAACCCCTGGCCATCACTCTCTCCTTCCTCGGGGCCCCAGTGCTTCCCAGGGGCAGCCAAACCCTCTCCAGATTACTGTCAGGCCACGGTGGGCCCAGGGAGCCAAGAGCCCCTCGGCCCACTCGGCGGGCTGGTCACCCTGGTCACCCCTCTCTGTCCCCAGCGCGAGGCCGCAGCCTGAATACGTCCTGCCCAAGTCTGAAGAGAAGGCCGAGGCGGCGCTGGAGGACAGGTAAATAGGCAGGTGACCGGGGGACAGCTGAGCCCACCGGGGGCTGCCCAGCCCACCAGGACATCCCATAAAAGTGATCTGCTGTTATCATGATGCCGAAATAAGAACACAGGTGTGAGTCCGCCAGCACGAGGCCCACTCCGTCGAGCCACGTTCAAGTGCATTTAGTGCATCCAGTGCTGGGTGACCAGCACTTCTCTAGTTCCGGAACAGTCCATCAGCCCAGAAGGAGGCTGTATCTACCCGTTAAGAAGTTGCTCTCATTCCCTTCTCCCTCCTTTTGAAAAACATCCTGCAACTCTCTCCTCATGACTGCCTGTTTTGGCTCACTTGTTACACAGCAGACACACACTGATGTTTGCTTTGTGCCAGATCAGGACGAAGCCTTGCTGGGGCTCACAGCCAAAGGCCAAAGACCCACAAATAGGCGACTAACGCTGAGACTCCTTCGCTCCCCACAGGTCTGCGCTGGCCACAGAAGATCAGGAGACGAGGTGGGTGGGAAGCAAGGTGGTCTTGCCGCCTTTTTTTTTTCATTCTATGTGGAGCCCAGGATGAGTGTGCCATGCCTTACTGTTGGTGGGGGGAGGATGCTCCACCGGGGAGGCAGGGAGACCATGGTTACCATGACAATGGGGCCTCCTCTGGGGCCAGGCAGCCAGTTTCTGCACAACTCCAGGGGGCGCCATTGACAGGAGGCCCCAGAGCAGAGCCATATGGCAGCCCTGACTGTGATGTCCACCCGGAGCCAGAGCCCCTTAAGCCCAGGATTTAACTCAGCCAAGAGGTGCATGCCTGCCCGTGGCCTGTCTCAGTGTGCCCGCCTGGTGCTGGATGCCAGGAGAAGCCTCCTTGTGGGTCCTGGAGCCCCCCTCAGGGTCAGTGGTTTGCCAGGAGGACACTCACAGGGTTCAGCAAAGCTGTTCTGCTCACAGTAATAGAGACCGGTGGAAGGGTGGAGAGAGACCAAAATCAGCAACAGGAAAAGTTCGTGGGCGGGGCCCAGAGAGACAGGCATGAGCTCCCAGTTGTTGTCTCCCGGGGCAGTTGGTGGGACCGCCCTTAACTCTCCTGGCAGCCAGGTGTGGCAGTGCACACCAAGTGCAGCCGACCCGGGGTGCTTACCCAAGCCCTGGCGTTCAGGATGTTTATGGGGGCATCAGCCATATGCACGGCTGACCGCCCGCATGGTTAACCTTGGTCTCTAGCGCCTCCGGAGATTGAGCTGGTCCCACATGGTCCAAGGCCCCTGCCCTAAATCACACTGTTGGCATAGACTGTCTGGCAGGACCCAAGGTCCCAAGCAAAGATGCTTTTATTAGGAAGGACAAGGACTTAGAGGTGACCTCCCAGAAGCTGGGCAAGGGCCAGATCTTCCTTTGGAATGTGCAGGGTTAATCCTTGACCACACCCTCTCCTACAAATCTATAACATGGCCTGGCCACATGCCTTAACACTACCCACGTGGCCCAGGAAGCCCCAAGGCAAGAAATAAACATCAGAAATGGTCTTAGACAAGCAGTGTCCCAGGACACCGGGTAGAGGCAAGCTCTCGTGCATTTCCGACAAGGCCCCGTCAGTCCGTGCATCCTGGAGAAGAGCACCCGCCCACAGACACAACACACAGGGAGTCACTCACCGTGAGAACAAGCCAGAAGATACAGCGAGCAGCAGAACTAGATCCCTTCCTAGGAATCCTTGTGTGGAGATGACACAAGAAGCATGTTTAAAATGATTAAATACATTAAAAAAGGAAAGGAATGGTACAGAGCAACAGATGGATAGACAGATGGACAGACAGATGGTTGGGTGGATGGGGGGCGGATGGATGGATGAATAGGTGGATGGGTGGGTGGGTGGATAAATGAATGTATAATAGATGGGTGGATGGATGGATGGAAGGTAGATGGGCAGGTAGATAGGTAGATGGGTGGATAACTGGATAGACAGATGCGGATGGATAAGTGAATGAATGATGGATGGGTGGATGGATGGATGGTTGACTGGCTGGCTGGATGGTTGGCTGGCTGGCTGGATAGACGGATGGATGGATGGGTAGGTGGATTAGTGGGTTGATGATGGGTAGGTGGATAGATGGATGGAAGGATGAATGGATGGATGAATGGGTGGACGGACAGTTGGCTGGCTGAATGGATGGTTGGCTGGCTGGCTGGATAGACGGATGGATGGAAGGATACAAAGATGGGTTGGTGAGTGGATGGGTGAGTTGAAGCCTCCCTTTAGTCTGATCGAGGGCTCCAGCCCTGGGGCCTGTTCTTTGGCTAGGTCCCCTTCAGAACCACACCTAGAAGGTGGGTGGCAGATGGCAGACCTTGAAGGGCAGGTGCCACTCTTGCTGCTGAGGGCACACCAAAGCCAGATTAGATCATCCTTTGGGATTCCGTGCACATGGAACATTTTCCACTTTCTTTAAAAGCGGTAATAATAACTTGACTGTGTTTGTCCCTTCCAGCATGTCCTGAGGTGATGTGAGCACAGAGGAGGACACGGAAGAAGATCCCAGATGGCAAGAAACCTGCGTCAGATGCCCTCCGGCCTGGATCTTGTCCCCGCCTCATCCTGAGTCAGTCTCCTGGAGGTGCCCGTCTCCTTCATCTCCGAAACCCAGCATCCTTTCTAGCTGCTTGAAAACAGTTTTTTCCAAGTGATGCAGTATCAGTGCGTTCTGGAAAAGGACCCAGCTCTCAACCCTCCACCCTTCCACACTCATGTGCTCACGGCCCAGAAGAGCGAGAAGCGTTGAGCGTGGCCCATGCGTCCTTGGCAGCCTCCGAGAGCCCTCCCACTGCACAACACCCTGGCCGAGACCCTTCTCTTGCCCGTCACCCGGCCTCGGTTGGAGCCACAGGTGCCCAACGCCTCCCTGGCCGGGTCTGGATTCCTTCTTGTGCCTTTCCTCCCAGAACGGCCCCTGCAGCCCTGGGCATCTGGCCCGGAAGCTGCGTTTCCCACCACAGGCGGCGCCACGCCCCGGGCACCACCTGGCCTTCGAGCTGACGGCTTCTCCTTTGACCAGTCCCACTCGTCTCCTCTAACTCTCCCCTTCTTAGGGAGCAGCAGGGCCCACAGTACCAGGGAGGGCTGCTGATAATCATCCTTGCCCCACAGTTGCGAAACCGCACTCCCCTCAATCTAGAACATTCTCAAGCTCCTTGAATGCAGAGGCCACGCCACAGGGCAACCCTGATCAATACCTCCTACTGAGGAAATAAGCCTCCCCACTTCCCCGATCCCCCACCCCCAGCACAGGGCTGGGATGCATCCCTCAGGCTGCCGCCAAGAGCAGAGACTGAGGCCAGCTCTGAGATAAGCTCGTCTCAGAAGCGCAGACACAGGGCACTGGACATTTGACGGTTACAAAGGTCACTTGGGAAAGCAAACCCCAGTGGCCTGGATGCTGCAGCCACCCGCATTCCAAGGGGGCAGGTTTCCTTCGGACAAAAACCAGACTTCTCTAGTGTGGCCCAAACACCAGTCAGGTGGGCTCTAGAGGTAGTGAGTTCCCGGTCTCTTGAAGCATTTAAGAAAAGGCTGGAAGGTGCTTGCAGAAAGTGGTCCTCTACCATCCCCTCCAATCGTAAGAGTCTCTGTTTCCATGAATCTGAGCAGCAGTCGGGCAGGCGCATTGTCCGGCCCCTCTTCCTGGCTCTGTGGCTGGCTTCTTAGCGGGTGTCACCGAGGTTTGATTGAACCCCACCCCCGACAATTTCCCAGTAGGAGATTCTTGGCCGCAGCGGAGATGTCAAACGCTTCTCCACCTAGGACATCAGCGGGGTGCATCTGGGGTTGTCCCAGCGGCAGGGGTGGGTGGCTGGTGGGGTCAATGCTGGGGAGGGTGTGTGCTGGGCTTCCTGCACATCAAGGGACTGTCCCACCCCAAAGGCCGGTGGCTCCGCCTTGAAAAATGCGGGGTTTCTAAGCAGGCTTGGGCCTGCGTCTTCTGGAACCCAGCACTGCTCGCGTGGGTCTGGGGCACTTGGGGGTCTGGTGGGGTTTCTTAAAATTTGGGTTTCTGCTTTTTCTCTCAAATGTCAAAGAAAGGACAGGGACTGTGTCCTGGGCCCAGATGAGTTACCTGGAGCCTAAGGTGGAGGGGCCTCTGCAGGATGTTCTGCAGAGGGGGTATGCCCCTCCATCCTGGGGCCGCTTGTCCCCCACCCCTGCCCAGAGAGCCTCCTCTTACAAACGGTGCCTGGGCATTTGCTGGGCCGCCCCAAATCCAGGTTCAGGCAGCCGGCTCTGCTCATCCAAGATGGACGTGTGGCCCAGAAGGCCCCAAACTCCCACCCCCAGTGGATGCAGTAACTTCTGGAAGGCCGGTGTCTCACTGAAAGTGCAAAAGGAGCCAGGAACAGACACATTCTACCCAACTCGACAATTGCTGGGCGCCTGCAGACGACAGAGGGTGGAAGCTACAGACCCTCCTGCCCTCAAGGAGCCTGCAGCCTGAAGGTTCCGGCCCCACAAGAAACTCCAACATGGACCCCTGGCTCACCGCGGCCCACCCACCGTCACTCCGGACCACCAGCAGCCACAGACAATGGGTAGGTGGAACCAAGGACCCCCAGCTCTGTCACAGCAGCCCCTCCAGAAAAGAGACCCCTGGGGAGGCCGTCTCCAGGCCGGCCACCTGTCCGCAGGTGTGTGAAGTTTCCAGGCACAGCTCCGGCCAGACAGGGCCGCCGTGTCCCGGCGGGCTGCTGCCCACACCCTCGGAAATTGGCTTTGTGGTAGATTTGTATCTTCGGGGCACTTCTGGCCAAAATGGAACGGACGTCGAGCCCTCCTTGTAAAGGGACGTTGGGTTTTCCTCTTGTGACACGTGGGATGCGCCATAAGTCCTCCCTCAGAGTCGTAGTTCACACGCCCATCCTTCCGATGGCACGTTTTGCGGTTTTTAAAAACAAAAATGATTCGTTATGATTACTGTCGTGATGTGAAGACATCATTTCCATGAGCTTTGGGGGGTTTTTATGTGAAATAAACTATAAGTGAGAGGGGAGGTGTGTGACTTTTGTCCAAGTCCAAAGGGATGTGGCGCGGGTCTCAGGCGTGTGCAGAGGCAGGAGATTTCACAGGCCGGGAGGGGCACGGCTCAACGCCGAGCGACCTTGGGCGACCTTGAGCCATGGCCTGTCTCCCCTTGCTTCTGTCTCCCCCCTGCAGAATGGGAGCCCTGGTTGGGTTCTTCCAAAAGCCCCTTCCAGCTCTGCCTCTGTGTGACTCAAGTTCCCTTCCTGCCCCACCACTCTCTCTAGAACCAAACTTAGTTGACAGCTAATAACACTCATTACTATTATTAAGCAATTCTCCAATTCCCGGCAGACGCCAGTGGGGTGTCCCAGCATTTAGCTTAGCCTGACACCACCGGTTGGGGTTGACCTGACGGGACTGTCCCCACTTCAGACACCAGGCAATCACAGGTATTAGCGCAGGATACACCTCAGCAACAGTCAGCAACAGTCAGCTGGAAGAGCTGCCCAGGGCAAGGCGTGGGGGCAAGAGGCAGAGCTTGCACGGCCCCTCTGGGCACGGCCTCCCCAGCACCTCCCTGCGTCCACCCACCCGAAAGCTCTTCAGAAATCACTTAGGGATTTTTATGGAGACGCCACCACGCAGGCACGATTGATTAAAGCCCCAGCCACTGGGGCTTAACTCAACCTCCAGCCCCGCTCCCCTCCCTGGAGGCCTAGGACGGCCCACAGTCGGTGGGTTCCCCTGGCCACCAGCCCTCGTCCTGTGGTCACAGGGCCTTCCCAAACGTCACCTCATAGGTGCAGTTGAAAGGGCTTGCTATGGACAGCGAAGGGTGCTTCTTTCATCTTTTCTGGAGCTGTTTCAGGAAACAGGACAAAGACCGAATATCGTAACAAAAGATGCTCTGTCTGCTCACTTAGGCAATGACAAGGGTTTTAGGAGCCATGTGCTGAGAACTTGGACTAAAACCAAAGACACGTTTCTTATTGTAAATTGCCGTATCACAATAATCACAATGACAGTAATGCTAATGGCGGTCCACGCCCAGCCTAGCGCCGTCCCCATGTCACTGAGGGGAGCGTGAGGCGCAGGGAGGCGGCTGCATGGCTCGCCTGGGGTCTGAGGTGAGTGATGGGTCTGAGGCCCAACCTTGTGCTTCGTCCCTGCTGGCTGCCCCATCTCATGGCTGCGGACCCACAGCCCTCTGCCAAGCAGGACATTGAGGCTGTGCTCCCCAAAGGGTCAGAGTGGATCCTTTCACGCCAGGTACAGGCGGAGTCCTCCATTATCCATGCCCGGGATTATAGCCTCTGCTGGTGGCAGGGACGCCAGGATGGATGTGACATCCACACAGCGTCACCGTCAGGCTGACAGTAGGAGTCGGCAGGTGGCAGCCCACCTGCCCTACCCTCCTGTCCCTGTGACGTCAGGGAAGGTATCCCTCACAGAGCGGGTGGCTTCACGGGGGCTGGGAGGAGGCCTCACGTGGAGGGGGTGAGCTTGCATGGGGGTGGCGAGGAGGGAACTGAAGCTGGCAGAGCTGGTCCTGGGATTATGGGGTGCCATGTTCAGGGGGGCGGGCCTATCCCTTTTCCCCACCCCACTAGGTCTCTGATTATCCTAAGGGGGTCCTTGCAAACCTCACTCACTTATTTATTCATTCATTTATTTGCTGAGCACTGGGGGTCCCTGCCACCAAGCACCCCTCATGTTGCTCCCAGCCCAGTGGGAGAGTTTGACACCACGGACCAGGAGGAAAGGCCAAAAAGGGTCCTCCCTGATTGGAGACCAGACCGAGAAGCAGCAGGGAGCCAGGCCCACGGGCAGGTGAAGAGGTGTCCCTGGCAGAGGGCCTGGTAACGGCCAAAGCCTGGAGGCCGCACCGAGCCAGGTGAGCCAGGAGCAGGAGGATGAAGGGCAGCCAGACGGAGGAGTGTAGCCGGACAGGGCTTGGGGCCAGATCGGCTGCGGTGGGGATTCCGGTGGAACCTGGAACTAAATTAGGGCCTGGTCACTCTTTTCGTTAATTTACATTAGTGGCATTGAGCACATTGACAGTGTGGTGCAACCATCACCTCCATCTAGATCTGGAACTTTTCCATCACCCCATGTGGAAACCCTGCCCTCATCAGCAGTCACTCCCCGTCCTCTCCCCCAGCCCTGGCAACCATGAACCCACGCTTTGCCTCTGTGGATTTGCCTGTTCTGGACATTCCATATACAGGGAATCACACACTAAGGGACAGGATGGTCACTTTTAATGTACCAGTGGGCTGTTTGGGGACAGGCTGGTCTATATTGGGAGCCCATGTGCCAAGGTGACTAGGAGGCCTCCCAACTGTGCCCTGCCAGGACCTCTATCTGGGCATGTCACTGTCACCCGTGGCCTGGGCCACATGCCCCACAAGGAGGCTCCCAGGAAATTCTTGCCATTGAAACTGGGCCAGAGGTCACAGCCCGAGCCGGCTTTCCCCACTGCCTGCCGGGCACCTGATGAAGCCCAGGGTCATGGGTCCAGCCACGCTGCCCCGAAAGGGAACCAAGGCCCAGGGGGGCTGGAGGGGAGAGGACGGAGGGGCCATCGGGCAAGACCCCTGTCAAGATGTTTGCTCGCTCTGCCCCTGGTGGCCGCCTCTGAAGTGAGGGCCACCACCCCCAGTGACCTCTTCTGACCTCCGTAACAGGTCAGTCCTGCCTGGGACCACTAGGTGAGCCTGTTAACCAGTTGTCAATAAGATCAGTCACTTCTTTTCACTTTCTGTCTCCACTGCTGGTTGGTCCTGAGCAGCTGTCTTGGCTGGTGGAATGAGGGGAGGGAGGTCATGGGGGGCCAGACAGGGCAGGGCCCCAGGGGTGAGGACAGTGGGCTTCTTTTAAATGCACATGAGGATGGGGGAGGCACAGGAGAGCTGGACCAGAGGAAAGACGACCCTGGTCTGGGTTTTTACGAAGCTCCCTCTGGCCACCATACTGAGGGGCAGGTTTAAAGCAAAACATTGCCGGACAGCACAAGCCCTAGAACCGACTGTACTCGGGAGCCACGGCAGTGGGGAGGGACCTCCAGGCAGAGCCAGGCTCCACTCCTGACACAGCGCAGGGAAGCAGTCTCAGAACCAAGGAGCAGGTGCGGTCGGTGGACAGAGGATCGCTGGGAGGGGGCATGAGGAGGAAGAGGGATTCTGGCTGCACTGATTCAGCTGGATTCTTGCTGAAATCCCCTTGTGTTTCACCTGGATTCAATGATCTCCTGCCCCTTTCTGATTTATTCATTCCTTCCAGTACCATTTAGGCAGCCTCTGCCTTTTATAGGCTGGCCTTGTTGGGCTCTGGGGACATATCAGAGAACAAGACCCATCTGGCTCTGCCTGCCCCGGAGGGAACCCACGTGTGGAGGGAGGGGTTGGGGATCCAGAAAGGCTTCCTGGCAGTGGGATTGTCCAACTGACACAGGATGCCTTAGTCAAAGGGAGGGAGGAGGAATGGGTGCGAGGAGGGAGTTCCTGGAAGAAAGAGCGGCATGTGCAAAGGCCCTGTGGCAGCAGCTCTGGCTGCTGAGGGACAGGTTGATGATGGGTAGGAAAGGGCAACCTCCCTTCATATAACCTCCTGGAGGTGGGAGCTCTAGTCCAAAGAGAGCCTCCCTCCTTCAGTTGAGGCCAGCAGTTGCCCATTATAAAGAATAGAACACTGAGGCACAGAGAAGTGAGGACAAGTCCCGAGCTCCTTGGTCCGGCAAGTGGCAGATTCAGGATTCAAACCCAGAGTTCTAAACCAGACACAGGCAAAAGACCCACTCAAAGCACAAAGATAGACCAATGAACTTTAATGGGACAGAGAACGAAATAGAACAGCCCACCTTCATAAATCTCCACCTGGCCAGTTTGGGTGCAGGACAAAGATGACTGCCCGTGATGATCTCAAAAGGCTACTAAAATCCTCTCTCCCTCTCTGTGAGGCTGGGTTTTCTTCCTATACATCAACCAGAACAGCCTATGGAAACGACAAGCAGGCGTGAGAATCCAGCTGCCTCCTACTAAGCCACACAGAGATTTGCAAAACTGTAGAACAACACCATTCTTTTACCTGAAAAGAAACTTTTTTGGGTTCAACAATGTGAGTTCATTCTCTGGCAGTTCTGGAGGTCAGGAGTCTGGCACGGGTCTCACGGGGCTAAGAGCAAGGCGTGGGCAGGGCTGGTTCCTTCTGGAGGCGCCAGGATATATAACCTGCAAATCTTTTCTCCCACTCCCTGCTTTGTCTTTTCACTTTCTGAATAATGCCGTTTGATGCGCAACAAAAGGTTTTTTTTTAAACTTTACCAAGTCCACTCCCCTTTTTTTTATTTAAAAAACTGTCCTTGCCTCTCATGACAAACACTGTATTTATGTGACCATGTGCTGGTTGGTTGTTATTTTTACACATTAACAAATCTTTAATTTTTCTCAGTTTTAATTTATAATATGTAAATATTATCCATGATGATAATCCACTTAAACAGAAGCTCCTTGGGGGTCCTCAGTCCTTTTCAAGGGTGAAAAAGGGGCTCCTGAAGCCAAACGGTTTCTTCCAGGGGAGAGTGTGGTCTGGGATGTGATAGGCTCCAGCCGGCCACCACGGGGACTGGGCAGACCAGAGATCAGCAGGGCCTGCTCCCTGCAAGCCGCCCCACCCCCCGCCCCCACCCCAGCTGCCGGGGTGCCTGAAGCCACAGGCAGTGACTCCAGGCCTCTCGTGGGCACCAGATGAACGGCCCCCGGTGTCACGCTGAGACTTTCTGGCGGCCAGGGTCCCCAGAGCGAAGCTCTCTTGGGGTTCACTACTGTGGACCTTACTTAAGCCCATCTTGGCAGCAACCCCCTTAGAAAGGAAGTTGCCTGCGGTGCGGCGCCCGGACCTCTCCCCGGCCCGCTGCTGTGGCGAGGACAGGAGTGAGCGGGGTGGGGGGTTCCTTTCCTCAGCACCAGCACCGGCTTCAGTGTCAGGGGCAGGCGCGGGGACACCCTGGGCCGGATATTTTTAGGGA